CTGAAAGCCCTATGAAGCGGTATATAAGTCTAACTGCTATTGCTATTAAGTCTAACTGCTATTAACATCTAGCAGAATATGTGAATGAAGTCGTATCAGCTTACTCAGCTATATTAAAAACCACAATGGTAACATGTTAACCTCCTTTAGCATTTTAATTTTTTTTTAATTGAAGTTTATCTTAAATTTCAAATAGAAATAAAGATAATAGGAGAAATGGGAAGGAAAAAGGAGAAAGGTAACTGGGGAGGAAATAAAAGCAGTGGATTTTTTTCGGTGCAGTGAAGTGCACAAAAAATTAGAATCCCATTTTTTTATTTTTACATAATTATTAAATACTACCTATTTCTATAACAACAAGTGAATTTAACATTTTTTTTTTAAATTTAACAACAAACCCCGAAGTCAAAATTTCACACACCCCGCCATTTCGAATGTAAAATCCAGAAGTGGTCTCCCAAGTGTAAACAAAACTGGATACATTCTTTAATTAAAACAGTTAATTTTGCTTCTTTTGCAGCCCCAACACTTTTTCCATCTATTCTTCCCTTATAGGAATTGACATAACTTTCCATTTTTGCAATTACGGAATTTTAGCTGCTGTAAACATAGTTGATAAAGGTTCATATTTTTTCCCCCAAGATCTTTATTCAGTAGTTCTAAAAGAAAATTTCTGGTTTCAGTTTTATGCTTGTTTTACTAATCTTCTGAATTAAAGGATAAACTTGCCTCCAATATGACTTTGCTTTATCCTAATTCTACCAAATATGATAAAATGTACCTTCTTTAAAATTACTTTTCCAGCCAACATTGAAACACTTTTATATCTTTGTCAGACTATCAGGTGCTGAGTACCAATGATACAGAATTATTTATATAGATAGATAGATAGATAGATAGATAGATAGATAGATAGATAGATAGATAGATAGATAGATAGATAGATAGATAGATAGATAGATAGANTTTGTGGTGCAATCAGAACATTCCGTGTGTTGAAGTTGTTTTAATGCAAACCAAAGATGCCTTTTAAAATACAAGTTTACATCATATTCTTATGCATGCCAGTGCTGTGTGTGAGGTAATTTCTCTCACTTTCTAGCCTACTGTCTTAGCCACTAGACCAAACTGGCTTTCTTTATACTGGTTTTCTGGTTTTACACTGTTTGTGAAGTTGCTCAGACTGTATGTGAAGATTTGTATCTATATAAATGTAATGATAGACAGATAGATCGATTTTAAAATTCATATGTTGCGTTCATCAAGATTATACCTGACATACTTGTAAACTACCTTGTGTATTTAGCTTGAAGTATCAAAATATAATTGGGATCAAGAAATAAATTGTAACAGCAATATCACTTAAACTTATATATAGCTTCACAGCCCTCTCTCAGCAGTTTAGAGAGACAGTGTATTGCCCCCAACTATCTGGATCCTCATTTTACTGACCTCAGAAGGATGGAAGGCCGAGTCAACCTTGAACCGGTGAGATTTGAACTGCCAAATTGTTGGCAACCGGCAGTCGGCAGAATTAGTCTGCAGTATTGCATTCTGACCACTGCACTACTACGGCTCTTCCTTGTGCTTATTTCATTGGGTGCTATTTAAGCAGGGTTTTTTTCTTCTTAATCTGTCAATATCGTACAAATGTATTGGGACAATAAATCATAGCATTTCAAGTAGAATGAAACTGGCCTTGTGGTCCTCCCCTTGGTTAGAATTAGTTGAAATGGGGAATGCAGTGTGAATTGTTGGTAATGCTCGCTGGCTGTTTATTTTATCTCCAAACACTCCTTATTGGTATATTTGTAATAAAGTATTTTTCCAATTTTAGAAATGATACAAATGAACTACACGTTTGATTATTTCTCACAGGAAGGAAACTATGCCTGACTATGGGTGCCCTTAAATTGCTTGAATGAACAGTTTTGCCTGCCAATGACCTTTTGCTGGGAGCTGCAGAACTGAACGTGTGAAAGATTCATTCCAAGATTTAATATCTCTCAACCCCCTTTAAGATTTCCAGTCCTATTTTCTTAATTTTGAATTGAAATTCCATTGCTGTAGGAGACAACCAGGGCCGGATTTTCCTATAGGCTAACTAGGCTTCAGCNAAGTGTCACAAATAACCAAAGACCTACATACTAATACCCGCGAAAACCTCAGAAAACATGTGTGTGTGTGTGTGTGTGTGTGTGTGTGTGTGTGTGTATTCCAATATTTACAATTAAATCTGGATACGCAATCATAAGACATTATTGCTTTCCCAGCAAGACAAAATAAACACAAAAGAATGGAAAGACTATAGCTTATTATAATGAAGGTTAATCTATTATAAACAATTAATCTTTCATGAGAGTTAGCCTATTGTACTCCAGAAGCACAACCAAAAGCAAAAAACTGAATAAAATAGCATATTTAAAATGGAAATAATTCTACAGGAACATTCTAATTCAAATATTAATGCCAAGAGATGGGATTCAGATTTATCCTTATTTAAACTACTCATACTGAAATAAACCCAATATAATTTAGTTTAAAAAAAACACAGAGGGAACTACTTAAGAGTGGTTTTATAAGAAACCTGATAGAGAAGGATATATGTAGCTGAGGTTTGAATTATGGAATTCTGCTGTTCTCAGAGCC